GTCCAGGGGTAGGACCCCCCCCCCCGCCATTGGCTCCCCACTTCTCCTGTGCAAGGTTATTTTTTTAAATAGCAAATCCTTTCCGAGCCCTCTACGCGACCTCTGTAGCTAAATTTCCCCCGCGTGTGCAAAAAATGCAAAAACAAAACAGATTAACAACAGAAAACTACTTTTGCTTTTTGTCCTTGATCAAAATTTGCATTGCTTTTTTTTTTCCACACCTTCTCCCCCCCCATCTCTCTCTTTCTCTCTCTACAGATAGCCTTAGAGACTATTTTAGCAAATTTGGAGAAATTAGAGAATGTATGGTCATGAGAGATCCCACTACGAAACGCTCCAGGTAAACCATTCCCTTCTGGGTTTTGTCTTTATTTTAGAACAAAGTTTAAGTTTTATTTTTGGAGGTGTCTTCGGAAGTAGCTAAGCGGATTTAGAATGGGGCTCAGGCGCGTTGCTGGTCTTCGTGTCGCTGTAAGCCCCCCACCCCCATAACCCCAAAGGTTATTGTTAATTGGGGCTGAACTCTGGAGTCAGAGATGCCCATCCCTCCGCTTTAAGGCATTTTCCCGTCGCTTCTTTTTCTCTTGTTTAAATGACATGAAGCTTCGATCACTTCCCATAGTTTTTTTTTTTTTTTCTTTTTTTCTTCCCCTTTTAAATGTATGTTTCCCTCACACTCCCAGCTTCCCAAACTCTTAAGCCCCCTCTTAGGAAGGTGGGCGAGTCTCTACCAAGTGCCGGGCTTTCTTCGGAATAAAACAAAGCGTTAAAGAAAGGGAAGGGGAGGAGGCGAGGAGACGAGGTGGCCGGAGTGGAGGCACCCGCATTTCCAAGTTACCTCCACCGCCCTGCCCCCGGTCCACTTCTCTCGTCCGCCTTGGTATTTTGTCTGGCCAGGTGCAGGGCTGTAGGCCGGAGGGGAACTGGGGCGAGGAGTGGGAGAGGGGGGTGCGTGGGAGGCAACTTTTGCTCCCTATTCTGCATTAGGTCTCACTCCTTGTTGCTTTCAACGGTGTCACATTTTCTTGTTTGTTTTTCTCCCTCTTTGTCTCCTTTCAGAGGCTTCGGGTTCGTCACGTTCGCAGACCCTGCAAGTGTAGATAAAGTATTAGGTCAGCCCCACCATGAGTTAGATTCCAAGACGGTAGGTTGCTTTTTGTTGTTGTTGTCCCTTTTCAGGAACGATCTGGGCATTGACAGCCCCATTTAAAGGGACAGCGTCGTCTTTTGCATTTGTGCTAGAACTGGGTACTTTTAAACAGAGCTGGGAGTTGGCTCAAAAGTTTGCTGCGGTGGCTGGGTTTGGGATTTTCCTTTTAGAGTCGGTTCCTCTGCAGCTTCTGATGCTGCCAAGCTTAGACTGGACAGGGAGGGGGCTCGGCTGGGGAGAGGCTCTCTTCCCAGTTAAGGGACCACGCAGAGAAACTCCACCGGAGACCAAGTGCAACTTTTCTTTGTCAGCTGAGCAGCTCTCGTTGCCATCTGTGGCCCTGGGCATCGGCTTGGAGAAGGCAAGGGCTGCTTCACACCCAGGGGGCCGGGGGTGGAGAAGAGGGGAGGGGGCCCTGGTTACAGGTCTAGGCAACAGGTCCTCTTGGGGCACCTGGGATTTGGAATGAGGTTTGTGAAGAGACCGAAATGCTAGCAGAGCCTAGCTGGGCATCCACTGGCTGACTCCAGATGGCGTGAAACCTAAGGCTGATAAGGGGTTGGGTTTCAAAGTGATTTTTTTTCTCCCTTTTCCTTTTCAGATCCTTTCCTTTTATTGTGGGTACTTTTATAGCATTAGAAGTTTTTAAAATCTGGAGTGGAAGCGGGGAAATTCTCTAGGTGAAGGTCAGAAAAGGAAGGGAAGAGAGAGTGTCAGTGTATAATAATAAATTTAATGGTGATGTGGGGGGAGGGGAGTTCACAGTGTTTTATTAATTAAGCCCTGGAGTTGGCTTCCTGCCTCTCCTCGCTTCCCTTCATGTCTACCAGAATTTCCCCACCATTTTTAGGTATCTGCCTAAAGTAGGGGCCATAAAATGACATTAAGGTACAGCCACTGCGCTGCCAATGGTGGGGTAGTGGGCCAGGGCAAGGGATGAACCTCCAGTTATGAACTTGGGGCAAGTCCTTCCTTGTTTGGGGCCTCAGTTTCTTCAGTAAAATAAATCAAATGAAGTGATCCCTAAGTCCCTTTTGGCTTGAACATTAAATGAAAGTGAATAAAAGAAAAGAAAAAACCCCAACACCCTGGCAACCTTCTCTGAGCTCGAATTGATTTTGCACATTCACCCTCTTTTTCTGATCAAGGAGGTCAGGTTTGTGCCCCTCTTCCTCCAAGAGAAGACCCCGCCCTTCTTAGTCGCTTTATTAATTGTACTGGACTTGTCAAAGCATGCGGTGCGGCCTAGCCTTTTCGTACTTTTAAATAATTTTAGGATCATTATTTGTAGAGCGACAATGGATGTCTGAGGAATTTTTTTTTTTATCCTTAACTTCTTGCCTAGTCATTTGAAAAAGCTAGTTAAAAAGGAAAATCATTTCAATGTAAATTTGGGAATTTATTGGAGTTTCTTACCCACTCCTTTTTACCTGGGAGGGAGAAATCAGATTTGGTTTCTATGGTAGCTGGTGGGTCGGATCCCTCAGTGTCAGGTGCAAAGCCTGCAGTTCACCCTCCCTGATTGTCTGTAGACATGTTTTGGTCACTATTATTTAGTATAACCTAGCTTTTGACTTTGTTTCAACGTTCAGTACAGGAGGCAGAAGCGGTTGGTTTATTGACATGGAAACGAGGATCTTGTTTACCGTTACCTTAAAAGCTTTGTTTAGGTAACGGCCATTCACACCCAAATTAGCACCCTAGTCTTTTCCTAGAGGATTTGTAGATCCAGTAAGTAGAGCTGTACCTAACTAACTAATGTTTTAATTTTTGGTAGTTTTCTTCTTCTTTTTTTTTTTTTTTAATAGTTGACAGGGACGTGCAAAAGGTTGGGATTTGCCATACTCACGTTGACCCCCTCCTCTCCTTTCGAGATCTCAGCGTGTACACTTTGCACCCAGAACTGTGATGGCACTGTAACGCGCTAACGCGACCACACACACCTCAGGAGTTCTGAATTGGCTTTTACTTATGGAATTTGGGATTTTTTTTAATTTTTCGTGTTCACATTTTTGATTGCACCTTACTCTCTCCAGCTCCTGGCCCCTCCTCCTCCCTTGTCATGCTCCTCCCCTTTTACCCTACACACAAGGTGACTTCTGATTGTGATTGTGTGTTGGTCAGCTAAAAAACCCCTTGACGGGGGTTGCTGATGAAAAGACACATCTGTCTTACAGTTTGGTCAACAGAATGGAAAATCCACACCTGTTGTATTTCTCTGGTAGACACGCTCTAGCCAGTGCTGGGCACCCCTGTAGAAGCAGTAATGTTAATCTTTACGAAAGGGTAGTTTCCTAGATAAGAGACTTTTTGTCTATTTTAGTTTTTGAAAAGTAATCTCTCATTTCTCAGGTGATGTTTAAAGGTTAGGAAACACTGCAGCTGTATTTTAGGTCTCTACACTACTTTAATAAAAGCAGTAAGTCCTGGATGTCTTACATGTAAGTCCCCTTATAAGTCAGGGGACAAATGAACTCTGTCATGAACCTTTATGCTTTTCCCAAAGGATTGCTCTTCCCTCCCCCAACCCCACTCATGGCAGAATTGAACACAAGGTTTAGCTTTACTTTTTAAAAGGGAAAATTTTTAATATGAAAGTTAAAGCCTATAAATAAATAACTTGTAGCAATATTCATGCCACTCTCTGTGTTGAATTTTACCCACAGATTTGTGACATTTAGAAATCTAATGAAAACCAACAATGGAAATATACATTTTTTTTATTCCCTCCCTCCTCTTTTTATTTATCCAAGAACTTTTCCCCCCTCAGATCAGCCTGTTAAATTCAAGTGCTTCTGTGGGAATTGTTTCAAGTTGTAAAGCCCGTCCCTGAGTGAGAGTCATGTGCTCTGCAAGTGTCTGATCTGAAGTGGGGGGTGTTTTTCCATTGGGATCGAGGTTGGAGTAGGGAAATTGCCTAGTTATTGTATAGATTTTGACTTCTCCTTTTATTCAGTAATTTTTCCCCCCACTCCATGATGGTCTCTCTTTTCTAATTTGGGTTTTAGGTTGCTCTTAGATTTTAAAAATCCAGGTGGATTTTAGCTCATGTGCTCACTTTTTTCTTTTTTTTTTTTTTTAAACTCAAGTCATGCTCTATAAATGTTGACATTTGCTTCTTTAGAGGCATAACTACAGAACGGATGACCTTACATGATTAATCTTGACTAACTTTTCTGGTTTAAAATGAGTGAATTAATTCAAGCAGAGCACCACGTTGTTGAGTGACTGTGGGTTTTGGGATGTTGATTTAAAAGTTTTTTGGAATCTCTTTTCTCTCCTGGGTTGTTTAGTTATCATCAGGGAGAAGAGATACCATCCAATTATCTACTGCTAGAAGATACTTACATTTAATTTTCAGGTGATGAGTTTTTTCAGTGTAATGACATTCCCATCTTTACTCCCAGCCATGCATGGCAGGTTAGATACAGGTACCATTTACTATTCAGTGTCTGTGGAAGAGAAACCCTTTGCTTGGTTTATTAAGAGCATCAGACATTGAAATGCTTGGTGAGACCTCTCGGAAGGGCCAGCTATAGTAGTTACATTTGGGGACAGATAGTTCAAGTGGAGATCAAAGTTTATGGAACTTTTGAATTGCCTGGAAAGTTATGCAAAGCTGGGTTCGAAGCCTGAGAAATGAGTGATTAATAATTATATAATTAATCATATATATTTTTTTTCTTCTCCTCATTGTAGTTCATTGAGCCCTACTTTTCCATTCTTTCCCCAGATTGACCCCAAAGTTGCTTTTCCTCGTCGAGCGCAACCCAAGGTAAGTAGGAAAAGTAACGATAGAGTTTTGGCACGGAGAGATGGTTATATGGATTTCAAATTTCAAACAGAGCATTGACAGTGACTGTTGAAACCTGGTGTATGCAGTTCCTTTGGGGTATCAGTCAACACGCGGTGGGGAGAGTCCAGGCAAAGCGTTCTGTGCCATAACCACGTCTCCACGTTACTATCCCGAGTGGGTTCCGAGCATCCGGCGTGGAGCAGGCACCAGTCTGCTAGATAATGGGAAGACGTGGAGCTGCCTGTTGCAATATTTATGTAAGCGTTCTATCTATTTTTAAGCATTGCTAAGATCCTATCAGGAAACATTGAAGATTTGCTTGTGTCTCTTTTTAGAGGGTACTTTCTTGAAGCTTTACAACTTGGAGTTAATGGAGAAGAGTAGAATTTAAGTAAACAGCTCACCTTTTCATGGAAAAAGCGATGTTGTAGGCCCAGAGAGCCCTAAATCTGAGCAAGGAAGCAGGAGATAGCTTGGTTTCAGGTTGGTTGGATAAATCAGCACCCTTGAAACCAACAGTGCTTCTTATTTGTGTGAGTGCCGGTGCTTGGGTGGAGAAGCTCTGAAAATGTTGTAACCCTACAGGAGTGGTGCTACAAGACTTGCTTGAAGAATCGAGATAGGGCTTCACTTTTTTAGAAGTGTGTAGTTAACATAGTTTTCACCGAGCTTGCCAGGTGTGGCTGTGAGAACATAGCTGCATGAAGCCTCAGGTGAAATTTGAAAGGCTTATGGCTTGCCTGTTAGATTTATTCATTTTAATTATAGTTAACCAACATTGGAAGAAATACTTTTCCTGTCTCTTGTGGCCTTGACACACTTGTAGGGCAATGGGAAAATTTAACGCTTTTGATTGTAATTCAGAAAGGGAAAAGTCTGGTTTTAGCAAATTCACTTTTATTTCTTTAAGCATGGCCTCCCTGCAGTGTAATTGTGTAAAGGGAGGAATGGTTTTACACATCCAGAAAGAAAAAGTTGGCTGGTTTGGATGAGATTTTGAGAATTTCAGGTCTGGAGGCTGCCATCTGATTTATTCTCTTTTCTTACCTCCCTCTCTCCCTCTGTCCTTCTCTTCCTTCCTCCCGTTTCCTTTTTAAGAAGGAAAACACAATTCTTTAAATATAATGAGAGAGTGTCTTTAGGCATTTTTTCCCCCTAATGCTTAAGCAAATGATAGAAGTTAATGAACTAAAGAGGTTAGGTTATTTCTGTACTTAGAACAAACTTTGGGATTGTCTTAATTGTTCTAGTTGTTTTTCCAAACTGTGTGTGATCCTTCACATTTCTGAAGGCTTCCTGGAATTAGCAGTACTTCCTGGGTTTGGAAGAATTGCTGTTTCTTCCATACGTGTGAATCTTTAAGTTTCCAGGTTAGTCATTCGATCACTCAGTCCCTGGATCAGATTACTGGAAAGGGAAACAGGAAAAAACCCTGTCTTGGTCAAAACATGGGTTTGACTTGTTTTCTCCTTCCTTTCTTGTCCTTACTCCTCAACTTTTTTTTTTATTTTGATTTTTTAAGTTAAAATGCAATATTTCACTTTAATGTGTCCTGATATTTAGGTTTTTGTTGACGTGTTCAACTTGAAAACAAGACATTGCTAGAATGGGTCAAAGTGTGCATCCCTCCCGCCCCTGAACCTCAAGTCTGGGGTATTCATAGATGAATTGTCAGACTTCGATGTGTGTTAACATTGCACCAGTGGGGGAAGGACAATTTTCCATGGAACTCTAGGGATTTAATCGTACTTTACTTCTTCCGCATACTTGACTCTACAACAGACTTTGTTATTCATTATCTTTGTCTGAATCCCAGTTCCTGTGGTATTTGACTGTTATCCCTGAGCTAATCCATCACCTTCTCTTAATCTCAGTTTCTTCACTGGTAAAATGCGTGTGATGACAGTAGCTCCCTCAGAAAGTTTGTGTGAAGAATAAAAGAGCATGGTACGTGGTAAGATCCACACATAACTCCTAACTGTCGCTGTGTTGTTGGTTGAATCGTCACTGTTAATGATGGTGGGCAAGCTCGACACCCTGGGTTCAGGTGCTGACTGCACCCCTCAACTGAGTGAATTTGGGCAAAGTGTTTTACTTCCTTCAGTCTCAGTTACCCCACCTCATAGTTTTTCTGCAGATTAAATACATTAATAAAGGAAAAATGCTTTAAAAAAAAAAACGACCTGGTATATGATAATACCACGTAAGTGTTAGCTGCTATTTTTATTCTTATTCTTTACTAGGCCCTTGCACCACTCCTGTGATAACAATATAATAATAGTGTTAGTAATTGAATTTGGGTGCCAGGCACTGTTGTAGGGAACTTTATGTGCATTTATTCGTTTAGTCCTCACCACAGCCCTATGAGGGGAGAATTAGAATGATCTGTTTTGTAGATAAGAAAACCAAGGCATGGTTGGGTTGAGAAGTGGTTTAAAGTGATGCGCCCAGGGAACCTGCCTTCAGGACTGGATGGATCTTTTGCCACTGTGCCGACTTGTGGGGGTACTGCGGGTGTCACCCCTGTTACAGACTCAGAGGGGTCAGCAGGCTGTGATGAGCAGAGCCACAGCCAAAGTCTTGGGACTTGGAGGTTCCATGCTCTTGGGTGATTCACATTCCCCAAGATGCCAGCCATTGTGGTGTTGCAGTATCTCTTCATCTGACCCCTCAGGGCATCCTTTCAGATGGCTCTGGGATTGCTCAACCTCTATGAATCAACCGGTGGGTGGTAATTATCAAGGTTGTAGGGTAGTTGGGAATGAGTGCAGAGTTGGGAGAAAGTGCCTTCCCTCTGTGTGGTCATTTTCCAAGAGAATTTGAGTCTGGCCACTAGGATTTCAGACTGAAGTTAGCATTGGGGGCCAAACGCTGGCTAACAGGAGGGTAGGACTTTATGCCAGGGCTTATTTATTTATTATTTCTCTCCCTTCAGAAAAACTTCTGCATCTGTGTGTTAGGGTCACGGTTAGAGGGGTGTAGCGGCCCCTCGTCATGGATGGAGTGAGGCGCTTGTAAATGATATGTCAGCACGAGTTTCAGTTAAGACTCATTCCTTTGCTTTCTAACCATCCCTCCTTGCTAACACTCACCAGAGAAATATTCCGTGGAGGTGTTAAAACAAGACTAGTGGAAAGAAACTGTAACTTAATACAAAAGAAAATCCGTGGCAGTGAAGAACAGACTTCATTTAGTACTGTCATAATATTCTTTATCATATAAATAAAAATCTGTTTGGACCAGAATTTTAATGCAGGACTGAAGGAAGGGTTTTGGATCCTGCAGTTAATTTATCCTCTTTTGCCATGTAAATGTTCACAGCTCCAGCAAGGTATAGTGGGGCTTTGTTAACTAGTCAGGGGGTGACTCTTTGGAGACTAGTGGCCGTTAATTAGTGAAGTACATTTTGATCAGGAGAAGAAGAAGTTAGGTCTGTTCTCTATCTTCCTATTTCTCTGGATGATTATTTCATTTTGTAAAATATGTAAGAGTTTCCCTCACTCTCTTTTTAAAAATTAAAACAGTCCTGGTACTCTGAAAAGATGACTTAATTTGAGGCCATTGGAGAAATGATCCAGCATTGCGTATCATTCCTTTGCTCCCTTCCGGCAGAAGCATTGGTTGTCTGGAAGAGTTTTGTGGGTTCTTTTCCTTGTGTGGAGGAACCGAGAGAATCCTTGGCATCTTTTGGCAAGAGTGGAGTCTAAATGTCACTCACCTTGTTTGTCCTCGTTATCCTCAGGGGTGAGAAAACATTCCCCCACACCTCCCAATGACCATTTCCTCCCTGAAATCAGACAGGCCAAAACCTTATTTGCTGATCCCTGGAGAGCTCTGTCTTCAACCTATTTCCAGTTGCCTTCCCCGGGTGAATCACTGATGCTCCTCCGGACGGACCTTGGTTACTTTCTCCGTCAAAGAGGGCTTGATAGAAGGCAAGAATCGATGCCGCCCCAATGGTTGCCTGCCCACCGGATGTAGTTGGCTTGAGGAGGAATGCAAAATGTAAAGGCTGGGAGTCTGACAGGAAGTAGCACCCAGCAAATATCTGCTGATAGTATCACTATAGAATTATTTTAACGGAGTCAAAACAATTACGTTGGTGAGCCAGGCACAGTGGTGCACACCTGTAATCCTAGCTAGTTGAGAGACTGAGGCAGGAGGATCATGAGTTTGAGGCCAGCCTGTCTCTAAAAAGAAAAAAGAAAAAAAAAAAAGAATTATAGTGGTGAAATGACCTTAAACAAACAAACAAACAAAAAATACTTTAACTAGAATGTAAGCCCCCTGATGGCAGGGACCCAGTGATGTCTGGTGCTCAGTGATTACTGAGCGAGCCGAATCCAGCCTTTCTTTGTCACCCTGTCAAGTTGCGTTGGTTGGTCCAGGTCAGCTGTCGCAGGGTTGAGCTAAGAGTGAGATTTTCCAGTTCCCGTTCGGTCTGTCCTCTGATGTGGCTGCAGGGCCCTGGAAGGTTCTCTGCTAAGCAAGCATCCAGATGGGTGCAGTGGCAGCACACACGTTGACACGCACACCTCCTGTTCCGGGGGAACGGTTTCTTGGCAGCTCCTCAAGGGCAGAGGGTGAGTTTTCGGCATCTGGCCTTCCCCTGCTGCCGTGGGTCAGGTCATTCTAGCATCGTGCCATCTTAGATGATCCGCAGCTGTCATCGCGGCAGCCACAGTGAACAGACTGCCGGCGGTTTTTCTCATTTCCAACGAGGCAGTGGTGGCGTGTCTGCAGCCCTTTTCCACAACGGCGAGCACCTTGGAGGATTAGTGGCTTAGCTTCTTTCTTGTTGTGAACACTGCGCCTTCCTGCGTTCCAAGGCAGTAGCAGGTGTCAGCTCATGGAGGAGGGGCACCTCGTCCTACAAATGTCCTTTCTCTGGATTTGGCTTTACCTCACATGCTTTCATCTCATTGTTAAGGTCAGCCTACTAGGACGGCGAAGCTCCCGTGTTCTGTTGAATGTTTTTG